TGAGCATTAATTGTAGATACAAAATGAATATCTGTAATATGTATATATATATGTATATGTATATCTATAATATGTATAGCAACCACACTGTGAGGAAACCCTGTAAGATGAAAAGACATCTTTTTATTCCGCTGATATTCCCAAGCACCCAGTCTGTAGTTCCTGCTGTTTCCATGCTGGTTTCAAAATCTTCGTGTTAGGCAGGCCATGGCATGGATGGATGGATAGGATTCCTTCCTTGTGCTTTTTCCTCCAGTTTGAGAAATATTCATTTGCAGCTAATTCATCCTAAAGGACTGCTAAGCTTTAGTTTGCTCTTTTGATTGTAAATTAGCTCAAAATTACTGACTTACTAGTTGCCTACCTTTTCTTTGGTCTATGGATTTCTATCTTCTCTTGGACCTTCTTCATGAAGTTTTGCACTATCAGGAAAAAAATATGTTCCTTATCTTACCTCTGACTCATCAAGAGAGTTGGTCCCTTTTATATGAAGCACTGATGTTGGATAAAATTTCAAGCATCATTCATGCCTTAACTCTGCAATTCAGATTGTTTTTCGCTGCAGAAAAGTCTTAGTTTGGAGGATTTTTGCCTTTTTTCACCTTAAAAATAACATGTTTCCTTCTGCATTTCTGCAATCTATAAAGGAGACTGGTGGAACAGGCCCGTAGCTCATTTTGATATTACATCCTTCATAAATAGTGATGAATTTATGATCAATATAGAGATAAAGAGATCTCTTGGGAAGGGAAGTTGCTTAAAATCAATTCTAAGGATGGACTTTATTTGGTGAGAGTCTTTTTAATTTAGTAACTCAGGAAGAAATTTGACTGATGTACTAAGTAGATAGAGGGTATGTTTTGAGATATTTTAGGTCTCGTTGATTTCCCAGAGTAGCTAAGTTGTAGTTTTCTGGTTTGGTTTGTTTGGGTCACCTGCATACTTTCGTCATAAATTTATTGCATAATATTTAGTTAACTAAGCAAACTTGTAGACAGAGGTTTGAATTCATAAAATAAAATAAATGGGAGATGAACAAAGCTTGGAAACCCCCAAGTTTGTCCAAATCATTGGTTCTTATTTAGGAGAAGGTAAATTATGATTTAAAAAGTGAGTGTAGAGTCTTATATTTGCACTTATAGCACTTCTTGACATTATGGCAGTTTTAGAATGATCATATTACATTGCTTATTATGTTATTCCCCCCTCCAATTTTAAATTCTATCTCTAGGACTATGGAGTATTTTTCCTCTGTCTTCAGTAATGTTTTATGTGAATGAGAGAATTTTAAATGAATAGAAGTATTCCACAGATATGTAATTTTTCCCACTGAAAACTGTTTTTCTTCAATTTTTTCAATTTTTAGACTTACAATTTCACAGATTGAAAAATATTTATTATAGATTACAGGTAGGATCTGTTTGACTCTGCAATTCAATGAATGTTTGTAGTAAAGGATAATTGGACTAATGAAACTGAGAAAGATACATTCTATTTAAAGAAATCGATTTAGCTTCAAAATATATTCAAGAGATTGGAAAGCATGGTGGTTTTGTTCTGCTGTTTTCATAGTAATTTTATATTTTAAACAATAAAGAATATTAAGGCTTATTCTGACTGTTACCAAAGACAGCGCATGAGGTTTACTTGAATGCATTATTTTTAGCTACTCTGTATTCTAAGGCCAAGTGATACTTGTAAGTAACATAAAAATTATTCACATGAAGAAAAGTATTTTTTTTATGCTGGAAGGAACTCAGAGTCATTGCAAGACATCTAATTAGTATTCATGGCATAAAAGGAAGTTATTTTCAGGGTAAAGGAATTTGTGAAAAGATAATTGGTTAGACCAACATTCTCATTAACCTAACTTGCATTAAATATGCTATTTTGAATTGTAGTTTTTCTTTTCCATTTGAAAGGCATGCTTTGTTAACTTATTTAAAGAGCCTAATTAAACTACAGTTTAAGTCATACTCTTTAATTCAGCAATACAATATAAAACTGCGGATCTGCGATTACCAACTTTGTGAGTGTGGAGAATCATAAAGCAGTTCTTGATTCCAGTGGATTTTCCTGATGAAGTAGGTTGGTTTAGCTGCTTTATATGTGATCATTCTCAGATACTGAAAGCATTTGACTAATCCTTTAGTTTAATTTTACTCCTTTATAAGAGCAGAGAAAACTCTTATTTCTTCTGTGGTGCAACATGAGAAATAATTAAAGCAGTCTTGGGGATATTGGAAGAAAGTACTTATGCCTTTGTTCTAATAGTAGGAAGACTTCGAGGATAATTTTGTTTAATTATTTTTCAGTAGAACTTCTTCACATATGTAACTAAATAGAGCCTTTAAAATGTGAGCTGTTAAAACATAAATTAATTTGCACATTCTAGTGCACATTTTAAAATCATGAGACTGAATTTGTATTTCTTTGATTTTCAGCATTACTTACTACATATTAGCAGTATTCTAGATATTTTAAAAAGGGGGTTTATTTCCTCTTGTGCTGTGTGCAACAAAGAGGAAGGTGCCTTTGTTAGCAGTGAGATGACTGTGAGTGCTCAAGTTAAGTATTTGCATCTGCAGATAGAGACATAAAGATACAGGGTCTAATTTTTCAACACTGCTGAACATACCTAGCCATGTTGGTATTTGTATTGTATGAACTAAACATTTGTAAAATTAACCACCTTGTTAGATATCTAAATGTTAATTTCAATGCTTAATCTTCATTATTTGCTCTTGTACTGTTTGACACTGGTTGTTTTCAAAATAGTAGTGACTGTAGACATTGAATGTAAACCAAAACCTAACTGATCAGGCAAGGTTGTATGTCAGCACAGTAATGCTGAACCATGGTGGATAAAAGTAATGAAAACAGAGAAATGCAACTTCAAGCTGGACATGGTAATGGTCTTAAATATCTCTACAAATAATCAGCTGAGAATGTCACTTTCTTGCTGTAATGGTTCAGAAGATTACAATAGTGGACATGTGAGACAATGTGATTAGTATATGAGTACCTTTGCATACCCAGTGACCAGACACGAAATGCAATGAAGTAGAAATTTAGATACTAAAAAAAAAAAAAAATCCGTGGCCAATCAATTTTAAATTCTGGCTGGGAGATGGTTAGATCTCCCTTTTCTTATTATTTGGCAAAGAAATATGCTAATTACTGTGCCATTTTGCTGCTTATTCATTTTGTTTACAAAACAGGAGTTAGCTAATGCTTGCACTATTGAGTGAATTGCTGAAAGGCTGAGCTTCCCTGCATTCTGGGACAGGCAGACAATGGCAAAGAAGCCAGTTGTGGAGACAGCACATTTTATGTTTGGATTTTGTCTGCAGGATTAAGGGCATGATTTGGGAACTGTCAAAGGTATGAATGGCAGGATATTGAGAGCCAAATAGAAGCTAAATGCTCACTTGTTGATAAAGCCATTGAAAACTTCCTCTAGCAGATGCATTCTCTAATAGAGATTAGGAAAGAATAAGCTGTTGCTTCTAAACGAACTGCTGGAATAAATCATAGTGATTTACATGTGATCACAGAATGGGTAAGGTTGGAAGGGACCACAGTGGGCTATCTGGTCCAACTTCCCTGTTCAAGCAGGGTCATCCCAGAACACATGGCACAAGATTGCATCCGGACATGTTGAATATCTCCAGTGAGGAAGACTCCACAACCTCTCTTGTCAACCTGTTCCAGTGCTCAGTCACCCACACAGGAAAGAAGTTCTTCCTCAGGTTCAGGTGGAGCTTCCTGTGCATCAGTTTCTGCCCGTTGCTTCTTGTCCTATTGCTTGGCATCACCGAGAAGAGCCGAACTCCATCCTCTTGTCACCCTCCCTTCAGATACGTATAGACATTGATGAGGTCCCTCTCAGTCATGTCTTCTTGAGGCTGAACAGGCCCAGCTACCTCAGCCTTTCCTCATAAGAGAGACCCTTGACCAACTTAGTAGCTCTGAATTCTCAGGATCAAATTTCATCTCTTTCACGAAATATTTCAACGTGGTTTTTTTCTGACAGAGCTCCTGAAACAGCTATTTGTCCTTAAACTGCACAGTCTAAGACGACACATGTCCCATACTCTGCATCAGTGATGCCTTTGCTTTCTGTTTCTCTAGACCTTTGACCATCATCTTGCAACCTGAATCTTTCATGTTTCCTCTGTCACAGACCATACTGATTTTTTTGAGTTACTGGAATTCTTTGTATGTTTTTTTCAGTAAATAATTTATAGGACTGGAACTGTCTTTTGCAACACAGCATGGTACTGCAATAAAAATATCACATTTAAAAGAAAATGATAATTCAACAACCCTTATAGTAAGAGAAAGTTCCTGGTGGCTTGAAGGAATGCTGTAGGTTAGAAGATCCTGTTACAAAGGTTATATGTGTAACTTAATTAGTCCTATTTAAGGGTTTCTTTTAATTCAGTCCCTCTTGTATATTAATTGGAATGTGGGGTTCAGTGCCTTTTTTTTGATGATGTGCTGGAGTAGGGACTAGTTCAAGGAAGAGAGAGAATTTAGCTACCAGACAACAAGAAGTCTTTATTTGGCTTGTACAAAGTGATTTCATAAAATAATTATCCATTTTAAGAAATATTTGCATGTCAGTAAGAGGTCTATAGCACTTTCAAAGCTGTTCATAAGAAATTAACTCTGTGAATACTGTATGTATTCTTAGTATGTTGTCCAAACTGGAATTTTGAGTGAAAATCTTGCTTGTTGACATGGCACCTAACACCTACTCATTCAGTTTTGAATTTGTTGCCCCTTTTTCAGTACTGTTTTGCAAGTCAGTGATTAAAATTTCTATAGAACTTTGACATAAATAAGTTTAGTATTGTGAATGCAAGCAGCATTAATATTAAATGCAAATTTGTTGAAGACTGATTTATTTATTGACTTTATTTCTTTAGGTTGGAAACTTCAGAGAAAACTTGTTAATTTTTTTAAAATAATTTTTTTTTATTTCTTTACTTTAGGAGATTCCTTTACACAGTTTCGATTTGCTGATGAGAAAGAATGGGATAAAGAAAGCATAAGCCATAAGCAGGTAACAGTATTATCCTTCAAATGATTTTCTATAGATAATCACCTAAGACAGAATATCTAGGCAGTTGTGGTTTCAACAACAAACTGTTAATACAATAATAGCACTCTTTATTGTGTATATTTTTATTAACTTTTCCCCGATGCTGGAGGCTACTGGGTCTTGTCCATTTTTTTTCTGCTGAAAACTAATCAAAGCATCAGGCTAGGTTTTTAAGTGATGTTGGGAGGAAAAAACAAGAAATCTCTCCAGTGAAGAGAAAATAAGAAACTGTCACTTTGCTTTACTAACATAGCAGGTCAGCCTTCTTTTTTCATCTGTACTCAAGAGAAAAGAGTTTAGTAAAATGACTGTAACAAAACCCTTATGAGTCTCTTCATATATTGAACTATGAAATGTATTTTAGTTCCTTCAAATTCACAGTTCTTATCCTCTGGTTGAAACTTCATGTCCTAAATAGTTAGGGCACCAGCTAGATTATTTGTATGTGAATTTTTTATGCTTGAATAAAAAGGAGCACATCAATAGAAGTCTCCTGTTATCTATATCAGGATACTTGAAAGTGTCCCAGTCTCTGCAGCTGTCTTCCTCATGTAAGTCATCTGAGTTATTGCAAGATAAATGCTTTTGTCTTCCAGGCTTTTCTTAAAATTGCTGTGAAACTTTCCTTAAGTGCGTCTTGAAACATGCATATGTATTCAAATTTTAAAGATTTGCTATGTCTTTTCTAAAATATTACAATATTCTAAAATATTACAAAATTCTAAAATATTACATTAATTATACCCTGGGAAGTGATATTTAAAGGTACTTTAGGGTTGCAAAGTCAAATTAAAGCGAGGAAATAAAACCAAATGCAGCATTTGTTTAAACCACTACCTGTCTTTCAATGACTGTATTTTTTCTTATCAGTTCTTCTGCTTCTAGTGTGCAGGATGTTGTCAGTAACCAGAATATTAATTTCTTTTTAATTTCCTCATAGTCTTGTCATTATGGTATTTAGGTGATTTGAACACATTAATTCCTGAATGGCTAAAGCCATTGTGAGAAGAGTGAAATTGCATGTTGACAGTGGTTTTCACAAATATTCTTCTGACTGCCAGTGATGAGACTGCACAGTTCTGGAGATGGTCCCATGCTCTTACTCATTGCAAAGTGTGCTGTGGTGGGCACGTTCTTCTGCCTCTGTCCCTAGGAAACTGTAGTAATTCATTCTGCCCCATCTAAAGTCGTTATTTCAAACTGTTTCATGTCTTTCACTGTCCTTATGGCACTTTGCAATAGTTTACTGTGCTAGTCACAATTACCCTTCCTTTGAGTTCTTATTTTAGTCCAGAATCCAGTCCCAGATGGTTTGATAATATTATCTAATTTTTCACATTGTCTTTGGTCTTTAGTCTGGTATCTCCTTTTGTTTCTGCCCCATGTTTTTTTTCCCTGAAAGACAAATCCAAGTCTAATTTTCACCCTACATCATTCATACCATTTGCCAGATTCCTGGTCTTTGCTTCTTAGTTCACATCTTTCTAATTCTTTGCCTTCTATACATTATGTACAGGATTAGAGACTTGTAAACTGAAGTGAATTTATTATGAGGGAACAGAATAAAGAGAAAATATATAAAAATAGTTGCAGAATGAGTAGATATTTCTCATTCCCTACTGTTTGTAGAAAGCAATGGCAAAGCATCAGATTCAAACGAGGAATGGAAATGTAACAGTGACATCAACAATAAAAAAAAATTCATTTTATTAAGAATACTGTCATTCATTGCTACAAAAAGTATGTTTGGGTTTTCTCCATTGTATATTGATAAAATACAATAAAAACATTCCAGAACATGGTCTGCAATTGAAAGATCAAACAGGTAATAGTAATTTGGATTTTTCAGTAAAAAATAGCAATTCCAGCGCCAAAGTATGCCTCTGTTTATTTTTTTGAACAAGTAACTACATGTGCCATGAAGTGTTCATAATTTATTAAATACTGCTTTGATTCCTTTGCTTTTCATTACAACACCACTTTTAGTGAAGTCTCTACTTGAATATCAAATTCCTTCCTCTGTTATGTTTTTCCAAATTCCTCTTTTCCTTCATTCTTAACTCTTCCCTATCTCTAATTTTAACCTTCATTTGCAATGTTCATTCTTGTTAATATTTTTGCAAGTTACATAGCTCTTCTCAAATGCACTTAAATGTTATTCAGTGACACTTCACTTTTTACAATTTTTTGTGTTACCAGATTCATACAATTTCCTTGTCTTTTGTAACTGTGCAGAAGCCATATTTGATCTTCAATATCTGTCAAAATAACTGGGTTTTCTGAAGATCTGATTCATTGCTGGGCAACAAGGCTTGCTTGCTGAAGACTTTGTGAGGTTATTTGCACCAGTGAATCATCTTTGATGGTGATCACCAATGCATTGTAAAATAAAGTCGTTGGTAAAGGAGAAAAACTCTAACCATCAGATATTTGATCCTTTCAGTCTTATTACTGGATACCAGAACCAGAATTTGGATAAAAGAAACTGTTAAATCAACTGCATTACTTCTTTTTTTAATTTATTTTAATTTTGCAAGTATACTGTCAGAACACACTATGTCTTTGATTTATTTTTGCTAGGCATGCAAATGTCAAAAGCCATCCTAGTGACTGGCTTTTGGAAGCAGTGTGAATTTCTTTGACAACTCTCTTATGATATGGCAGAAAACACTCTCTCCTAATTTATGAGTATTTGGACTTCTAAATGTCTGTGCCAGTCTACGTCATATTGAGAAGGACAAGATTTTATCCCTTTAAGTGAGATTTGGAAGCTGCTTCTCTGCTTCCATGAAAATGAGAGTCTAGACTGAACCTAAGCATTTTGTTGTCAGATTTTAAAATACAGGATGGATATCAAATCATTTTTTCATCAACAGTGAATGTGCTCAGAATGTTCTTCTATACTGTGAACTTGAAATCTGTTTAAGATTACTGAAGTCCGGGTTGTTATGTAAAAATGTCAAATATTGCTGGTTCATTTTGTGTAAATCTGTTTTTAAAAAGGGGTCAAGAGAAAATGGAGCTTCAGTAACTGTAACAGTAATAAGTTGTAATTTAGCAGCAGTATAATTGAATATAATTGTAGAAGTGTTTGTAACTATATACTTTGTTGCTTTTGTAAGTATCAAAACATTTTTAAAAATGTGGAACTATAAAAAGGCCCCTGTTTAGCCATTAAAAACAATATAGCTACACAGGAGCTCGGGGTTGATTGCTTAGAAAATAGTAGCAACTCACTAAAGAATGTCATTTCAAACCGCATGAAAGCTTCACAGTTTAAAGCATGTTTTAGTTGGAAAAGCTTCTTATGACGTTGTCATAAGAATGACTGAACTATTCTGAACTATTTCCAATTTTGGACTTTCAAGGCATTGTCTAAGGAGTATTTAGTTTACAGCTTGTTTTTTAGCTGTAAGTTATTATTTGCAGTGTAAGTGTTTATATGGTAATTTAGCCAAACTGCTCCATACAAGTGTAATTTAAACTATTAATTTGTGTATTTCTATAGATTGTTTTCCAGATTCCTCAAATAAGTGGAACAGGGGAATGTAACAGATTAAAATTATTAGATTTTTTTGTTTGTGTTCTTTTTGTGTTTGGTTTTTTTATTTACAAGTATACTGTGTGTTAAATTACATTTCAGTTCTCTGCACTTTCTGTTGACTGCCAGTCTTTGGTCCAGGCCCTTCAGGAATTGCCTCTACATCTGAAATTGAATGTAGCTGCTGACCTTGTACAGGTAATGCTGTGAATTAACACTAGGAAATGCAAATATTTTAAGAGAAAAATCTATGCAAGAATGATTAGTCTTCAAACGTAAGTACAGTGTAAGTAAATATATTCTGTTAGACTGGCATGTCAAGTGGCATGTAATGCAGGATACCCCTCTATCAGCACATTTTTTGTGCTTACTTGGCTTTAAACAAAATGGTTGAATGTGCAGCATATTAGATTTGAAGTCAGGTATCAGAGTGTTTGACATGCAATGATTGCACTATTTTTGTATTTTTTTCTTTTGTTAGCAGCTGGTTTTAGTTGTACCAAAATTTTGAAAGTGTTTTCACATTCTTTCCTGTTAATTACTTTAATTGTGATTTAATGTTCTGCATAACTAATATCAACATACATGTTTTTTTACATGAATTGGTGTTACATCAGTGTTAGAACAGGTAGAACTCTCAATCATACTGGTGAAGAAAATACTATTTATGCTCCAGTGGCAGGGGGAAGCAACAATATTATTAAAAAATATTTCTTCAGATTGTGAAAAAGAAAATATTAATGTAAGCGCAAAAGAGCCAATGAGAGTTAAATATAAAACCAAAATTCTTAAGATCCATCTGCTCAAGCAAGGAAAAACGTGACCCTTATAGAAGGGTCTGTTTGGGGTTGCATGAAGTGCTTCTTCAGCTGACACTATGCTCTTTGTTAAAGCAGCTCAGGTATGTCTGCAGATGTGATGGCTAAGGGAATCTGCAAATAAATGTTACTTTCACATACAGTTTTCTTTTTAGGAGTTCTAGTCATGGTCTCTAACTTTTTTCAGGGTTATAAATTGTTTGTTATGGCATTTAATCTTTGTCTTGTCATTCTGACCAGGGATGTGGTCATCAGTTATGCTGCAGTGTTATCAACACTAGGGCATCCTGATAAAAGCTGAATCTGTTACACAGTTAAATAATGAGTTGCCATTTCTGGTTTCACTGTTTGACAATGTTTTACAGTTTAGTTTCATTCTTCAAAATATATGGCTATATACTATAACACTGGCTAATTGATTTTCAGCAACCTGTAGTATGGTTTTGTTCAAGACTAGAATTTTGGAGGGATGACCTAACATGATGTTTTTAGCCAAATTCCAGTCATTCCAAAATTCAGAGTATTGATGGGATTTCATTACAGAAGAATTAAGGAAAAGTAATTTTCCAGGAAGTGCAAAGCATTTAACACTGTCCCGCACTACATCTTTGTCTCTAAACTGGAGAGACATGGATTTTGTACATGGACCACTCAGTGGATAAAAAAAATTGGCTGGATGGTCATACACAAAGAGTTGTGGTCAACAGCTCATGTCCAAGCAGAGATCAGTGACAAATGGTGTTCCTCAGGGGTCACTATTGGGACCAGCACTGTTTAACATCTTTGTCAGTGACATGCACAATGGGACCGAGCGAACCCTCAGCAAGTTTGCTGGTGACACCAAGATGTGTGATGTGTTCGACACGCTGGAGGGAAGGGATGGGCCATCCAGAGGGATCTTGACAGGCTTGAGGGGTGGGTCTTTGAACCTCATGAAATTCAACAAGGCCAAGTGCAAGGTCCTGCCCCTGGGTCAGGGCAATCCCAAACATGGATACAAGCTGGGCAGAGAATGGATTGAGACCAGCCCCAAGGAGAAGGAATTGGGGGTGTTTGTGGACAAGAAACTCAACATGACTCTGCAATGCGCACCATGTTTCAAAGGAGACCTGACCAGCAGGTTGAGGGAGCTGATTCTCCCTCTCTACTTTGCTCTTATGAGACCCCACCTGGAGTACTGCATCCAGCTCTGGGGCCCCCAGCAGGGAAAGACATGGATCTGTTAGAGTGAGTCCTGAGGGGGACCACTAAATTGATCACAGGGCTGGAGCCTGAAGACAGGCTAAGAGAGTTGGGACTGTTCAGCCTGCAGAAGAAAAAGCTGTGGGAAGACCTTATAGCAGCTTTCCAGTACCTTTAGTGGGCCTACAAGATAGCTGGAGAGAGACTTTTCAAAAAGACATGTATGGATAGGACAAAGGGGAAATGGCTTTAAGCTGAAGGAGGGTAGGTTTAGATTAGATATTAGGAAGAAGTTCTTTACGGTCACAGTGGTGAGACACTGGAACAGCTTTCCCCGAGAAGCTGTGTTCTCCCCATCCCTGGAAGTGTTCAGGGCCAGGTTGGATGGGGCTTTGAGCAACCTGGTCTAGTAGAAGGTGTCCCTGCCCATGTCAAGGGTGTTGGAACAAGAGGATCTTTAAGGTCCTTTCCAAACCAAACTATTTGATGATTCTATGAGTATTTGTGAAACAATGGAACTTGCTGATTTAGCATACCATCTCATATTCTGTAATAAGGGATAAAAGGAGTTTGTATTTTGCATTTGCTTCTGTAAAAGTATCATCCAGATAACTTTACTTTCACTTCTGAATTGAATTCTGCTCAAGTTCACTGTACCTTCGGAAGTGATCAAATATAGGAAGTATGAATTACAATCCAAATTAGACAGAATAATAAAATTAGATAATAATCATTATAAAGACTCAAGTCCTTTCTTATACTCTTAGGCATCAACACCTGTAGAGCTCCCACAGATGAAATCTAAAATTTTTGAAGATGTCAAGAGAAGAGATCAGCTGTTCCGACAGTCTCCAGCTCAAAGTGACACCGTATTGGTCTCCCCTCTTGTTGGTAATTCTGTTGTTACATCAGAGCCTGGAAGTAAAAATGGCTCTAAGGCAAATGCAGGAGAACCATTTCAGAGAATCCACCCACTATCAAAGCAAGAGACTGACCATTTGGATGAAGAACTGGATCTTCTCCTGAATCTAGAGGCTCCCATGAGTATAAGAAACAGACCTGTGTCAGGCACATTATCCTACAACATATCAACTGAGAAAGATTTGAAAATGGATTGTAAGGAAAGTGGTAAGTTTTCTCCCCAGCGTGCTCTTATTTAATTTCCACTGCTCTCTGTTTTGGAATTCTTGATTAGCCACTCAACAGTACTGCTGTCATCATCTCTTTAATACTGCATTTCATTTATCTGGTGCTGTGTTCTGACCCTTTTGTTCATTTTCAGTTTTAAATCCTCATGAACTAAAGTTTCACCATTGTCAGTACACTTTAAGCATTAAAAGAAATTCTTCTGCAAAACAGCATTGGGCTTATGATTCAGCAAAATTTTAAATTAAAAAAAATAAGTAGTGTACTGCTAGAGAATTTTATTGTAACATTATCAGTCCTTAGTTGACTGTACTAATAGTATACAGAAGAATTGACAGTTATTTCCAATGGCTTGTCATAAATGCTATTTTTAAACTTTTCTAGCATTGATTTTATAAAAGTAAGTTTAGCATGGAAACTATTTTTGGAATATGATTTGCTGTTCTTCAAGAAAGAGAGATTGTGTTTAAATGCAATCAGTTGTGTATTAAAAAGCAAAATGACCCAGGAAAAAAGCTGATATAATATTGTTTCCAGATTATCAAGCCTGTTCTTTTCACTTTTCTAGACCCTTTGAAAGTAGATATGCCTGAAGAGAAGAGTACCTCATCACAGCAACAGCAAAGTACATCTAAAGATGTTACTGAGGAAGAGCTTGAAGATTGGCTGGACAGCATGATCTCCTGAAGCTCAAATTTCCTCATGTGAATAATTGAATATAGCAAACATTACATAAAAAGTTGAACTTTTCTTTATCTTTTTATTTCCTTTCTCTGTTTCACCTTGTTCAGTGTACCAGTATGCTGGCTTCTAAAATTTTTTGCAACCAAAATTATTTAGGTGGGATTGAAAATTGTCGAAGACTAATAAAATTATTAAAAAGGTCTAAAATTTGTGATGAAATTGGAATTTTCTTTGCTAAAGAAGCAGGCTAAGAGAACAGTTATTGCAGCTTGTACTTGCTCTATGTAGTCCTTAAAATAAAGCCATGACTGAACAGTGAATACATGTGTTTTTAGTCACCATTCTCACACAAATCCATATTGTAGAAAAATGGCAAAGATGACAGCAACGGTAATATTTGGTTTATAATACTTTATTGCAGTGGGCACTTTTATTAGAAGAAAAAAGAATGCATAATCCTAACAACTTCTACTTGCAGGTGACTGTAGAGCATTGTTTTATTTTGGCCTAAGATTTAAACTGTGTTCATTTTGATACAGTGTTATGTCTTTTAACAGCAGCATCTAATAAGCTGTTATTGAAGGTAGTATATTAACTAACTTCAAGTGTAATTTGATACAGAAAGACAGAAAAGCAATACAGTTAATGGGTTTGTTCATCTAGAACATTAACATAAAAAGTTTGCATAGCTATGTCTACAGAGGTTTTAAGGCACTTTAATGTTTCAAGGTTGACAGAATGTTTGAAAATGATTTCTTTTTAACTGCTTAAAGCTTTTCAAACTGTATCTTAATACATTCACTAGCAAATACTGTGGGGAAAAACTGGACAGCAGTTAGCTGAACTATTTTTTCTGAGGCATGGCCTCTGATGTTCAAGTTCTTCAATGTCAAATGTGCAATTAAGATGCCTTTTAGCCCTTTCAACTTACTGCCAAACACCAGGTTAATGATGTGGTTAAAAAGTTGTTATAATTTTAGGCCATGTTTGAACTGGAAGGCTTAAGTTAATCAGGCATAGTTTTCTCTTTTCTAATTAAAATTCCAACAAAAGACCTGTTTCACATGTGGTAGGTACAAAAAGCCTCTGAAATAGTGTCAAATTTTATGTGTGTCTTGAAGTTTAAAGACATTTAAAGCAAATACAAGCTGTGAAATTGCACCATGAAAAGAATAGATTTCTTTTTTTTTTATCTTAATAGTTCATGAATAAATAATTTTTTTTGTGATATTAGCCAAGTTGATCCTCATACTGTTTTCGAAAGCAGTCCCCTGCTGGGAAAAAATCCCAACATCTTTCTTGGTACATCTTCCACACAAATGACTCCTGAAAATGAGAAAGAGTATTTATTTTAACAGTCAGCATACAGTTAGTGCCATAGAAAAATTTTTAAAAATAACCACATACTGTGCCTATTTCCATGGAATAGAACTGTAAAGGCACTGGAACTCTGAAGATCATAACTGAAGAATGTTTGTAAAAGTTTTATCTGCACTTTTCCTGATTCAGTACTACTGAAATTTAAATCTATTAGTAAAATACGTAAGTGTAAATTAATCAGTCCAGTTATATCAGAACAAACCTATTCACAATCTGTATATATAAAATGTGGTTTGCATTGTTTGGAAAACAAAGGTACTTTTGTACTCTATGCCTAACAACTTCTTATTAGAGATAAGATATAATTAAATCCTATTTATTTTCTTATTTATTTACATTTAGGCTTAACAATGCTAAACATACAGACACCCATATACCTATCTATCTACACATATGTATGGATTTTTACTGTAGAAATAGTACCTTAACTGCCTAAATCTTTTGGGAATAAACTGTAACTGGTACATTTGAGCTTTTCATTTCAAAGATGACAGTAACATTACTAGTACCTGACTTCTGACAGCGTTCACTGCTCAGTAAAATAGCACACTGCAGCGCCCCACCCCCCTCTGGTTTTGTTTTAACCCTTCTTTTCTTTCACTGGCAGTAGACCCTTTGAGGGTGGCATCATCCACAGTCCTCAATGGTACATCAGTTCCACCTGGTGGTACACAGCTACAGGGCTCAAGAAGATAAAAATGTTTAAAGATAAGAAAAACCATTAAGTTTTATTTTCTACTCACCTGGCCAGTATGCTCAGTTTCATCCTTGTTAATTAGATACATTAAGAAGAACCTGAAACAAGCACATGAAGCAGGTATTAATGCAGGAAACATAACATCTCTGCCTGACCGTTTGTAGCCTGGAGTGTGTTTGAGGAAGCTTGCCTCACACTATAAGCAATGACACTGCTAGACATGTAAAGTGCCTGTTTTAAGGGATAAAATTATGTCCTGAAGCATATCTCCTGTGGAAGTGCTAACAGATAAAAAAATCTGTAGAAGTAGAAAAATACGGCTTAGCATCTTATTCATTTCAGTGTGAGGAGCAATACCTGAATTAGGCATATGCCAAATCCTATGCACGTATGCTCCAACATCTCACCTTGGAAAAAGTTACGATGGCTACTATGTGAGAAAAGTGGTAAATACTGAGCTGCACCAGGAATTCCAAACATGCATGCCATACAGTTGGTAAGCTGAGCCTCTCCTTCTCTAACACCTATGCTCTGTCAGATGTTGAAAGCTTGAACTAATTAAGGAGGACTGTAGAGCACTAACTAAGGTCTGTTTACAGGTAACACAGCTCTTGGTTGGACAGTTTGGATGCAGTGCATTTGGAATTAGATTTACTATGTGCTTTTGTTGTGAAGAAAGGAAAGTACGCTGACTTTAACAGTTGTCTAATTAAAGGGCAACCTGGGTAAAAAGATCGTTCGCTATGTGTTCTAATATTAAGGAAATGGTCGCTTTCAATTTACTGTGAATTAGAGGTTCCCATGTACCAGTTAAGCAGTTCAACATAGTCAGAAAAGCTTGGTGGTTGTAGACTGTAAAACCATGGATGTTAATGGAAATTTACATCATGTAAGGCAATTGATTTTGCCAATGTCAGTTGCTGTGCAAAGAATAAGGCAGCCTCCACTCCAAGAGGCACACTTTCTTTTTTTTTTTTAATTTAAAAAGTTCAGATACAGTGTTGCAAAGTCGGTCTGCTGTAAGAGTCCACCAGCTCAGCTCCTTTGGTTTTGCTGGCACAGTGCTCATGTAATTATCTTCGTTGTATTAGTAACTAATGCCACCAAATTAACTTTTTAAATATCCTCTTTGGTCTGCTCTATATTTGCTAATGAAAGTGGAAAAGCACTGTCTTGGTAGTCTGGGCAATAGCCTAAACATTTACAACTCCTGATTGCTTCAAGGTTTGAAGAGCTTCACTCTCACTAAAGAACTATGATCAGAGTAGTTATTTATTTACTGGCGGTTATCTTTCAATAACCTTCAAAAAATACCTTTTTTTGCTTTGTTTTGTTTTGGGTTTTTTTTGTCAAATCAAGGCCAATTTTCAATGGTCTCATCAGTGTTACCAAGCCCCCAGAAGGCACAACCAAAACTTCCAGACTAAAGCAACTCATTAAACTGTTGTCCCCCATGTTTCCACATATCTGGGTTTCCTTCCAGCAGAATAAGAAGTTGGTCTGCCTTCCAGTCTCATTCTACTAAGGTAACTGATGTGTAAGGTAAGCACTTCAAAGATCACCAGCAGTGTGGAGTAGAGGAGGGGAGACCAGAAAGGACAGGAGATATTCCTCAGTTCTACAGAATTCCGTCTTGGAACTTTCAGCAATGTGTGCACCTAAATTACTCTAGACCTGAAAAATTTTACTACAATTCCAGCTGTAATATGTACTTACAGATAGTTCGCCAAGTTGTGTTCTTGCAAAGTATGTGTTTCAAAGCCATGTGGGGTTGTGTCAAAATAGTCATTGCCGATTCCACAAATAAAACATTTGGTCTGAAAACACAAGTTGTGGTTACAGATGAATTTTAACTCAAACACTATTTTAATTGGTGATAATCTAGATGAATGAGAGTAATGAAAAATGTAATGTGCTTCCTACCTCCATGTCTTCCCTCACTTGTTCTTGCTGGTCTCTTAATTCACCAAAAGCATCAATAATCAGACCTATTTCAAATTGAAAAATAGCAACAGTTTGGTACTGAGCAATATTCATATTGAAAATAATGTCAGTCCTCCACTGTCTAGAGTTTACTGTACTTATGTCTAGGTTGAACAATTCAAGTTACAATCTATCAATTTCCAGACATCCAATGTTTTTTTATACTGCACTCCCAGCAGTAAGAATTCCTATTACATGGAGGTACAATCTTGAAAGTGAAAAGGCTTTTCTGTCCTTTATTACAGTCAATTTAACCTTCCATAAGCTCATCTCTTTTGTCCCATGAATGAAATCAATTTTCACTCCTTTACTCATGAAACTCTTGTATCCCAACTCTTGTTCAACAAAGACAGCTCTGCTCCCAGAGCCCCCCTTGGCCAGTTTCTGAGGCTGCTTCGCATTTGAAGCATTACTCTTGCACTTCCAACGTATTAGGATTAGAATCGGATCATTCTGAGGACTGTGACATGCGATACATTTTTTCTTTGCCACCAGATGGGTGTTTTCCTAACAGCCTGAGGTCAGTTCATGCAATGAATGTTGAATGCTGACTGTCACTGAGGAGAGGTCTCGTTCACTGTGAACCAAAACTGCAAACCAATTAACCCTACAAATCATCCTCTAAAGAAAGGAGGAATGGTTGTGTGGCCATGGTGACTTTCTTCATGTCATTTACCCTTTTCAAGGGGAAAGTCTCCATTCCCCAGCCAGCTGTAGCGGTTCCAAGCTGAAAGTCTTCAGCAAGCCTCTCCAAGTTTAAATGGTAATTATAGGAAGAACAGTGATCTTGCACAACCTGCATCATCTGTGACCTTTAACTGAGGTTACACATCTTGTGCTTAGACTTTGTGCAGTACTTGGGACAAGGCATTATTTATGAATTAAGTCTAAAATTATTACTTTCAAAATTAATGATTTTATCAGATCAGAAATAAGTCTTTATAGCTATACTGCTAAATTTACCTCAAACATAATATGGTTTACATTGCTGAGCTTCATTAAATTAATTTTGAACAGTCTCTACTAAGGTAAGTGATGTTACCTTGAATAATGGCCAGTAGGATAACAATGACAAAGAAGAAAAATGTGATGTCAAAGACAATTCGATACATTTCATAAGGGTCTCCAGCAGGATCCTCAATTTCATCTCCAATGCCACCACCAGCTCTTACACCCACATACATGTGGAACAGGTAACACTAAAAAAGAGAGGAAGATTTGCAAATATATTTACCATGAATTACTCTTGAGTTTTTTTTC